AGCCATTCAAGACGGGGTTGATGCAGGGCAAAGCGTGCCTCATGTGCATGCGCATATAATACCTCGGAAGAAAGCAGATTTGGATCATAAGGGTGGCTCGGATGCGATTTACAGTATGATGGACGGCGAGGAAGGGGATATTGGTAGATTTCTGGCTGAGCGGAAACTTGCTATGGAGCGTAAGCGGGCACGATCCGAATTTTCTGCTGTTGATAACGATGCTAGGGAGGCTAGGTCGGACGAGGAGATGCACAAGGAGGCGGAGACTTTGGCTGCAGAGATGGAAAAGGAGATAGAGATGGAAAGGGAAAGCTCTAAGAGAGTATATGATGAGTGAAACGCTGGGGGAATCGTGTACAAAAGAGGTTTTTAAAGGATTGCTGATGATTGCATTTTGATATTCAAAGATATATGTAGAGAGAGTACTGAGTGGAGGTTCTATTCTACCATGCTTCTATAAATGCCAAATCCAATGTTTTTGAGATCCGCAGACCCGTCCGGCTCAGCTGGCATATATACCCTGAGTGTCGTGTGAGTCTTTAAAAGAATACGCCCTTCAAAAAGGAATCTCACAGCTTTCGTCCCAGGATCAGGGCGCTGACCCATTCAATCTTTACGACCTTGTTCTCTGGAGACGGGGTATCCCGCAGGCCGTCCTCAGACTTGATGATGGCCTCTAACATCTGGTCTGCAAGATCTCCAGTCCCACCCTCGCTTCGTCGGACTTGGTCTGGATGGTCGTCTTTCCAGCGTTGATGTGCACTCCATGTACGGACATACTCAGTGGCCTGACCGAGCGTGATCTCAGTTTCCATAAACTTCGTTCCCTCGCCCGAATCAGGGCCGTTAAGGCCTGGCTGGTATTCAAGCCGTTGGATATCCGTCCATTGGTCTGGCGGTGGCTGAATAGCCCGTAGTTTCTCCCGCATGATCGTACTTCCAGGCTGGATCCAGTATTTGGCAAGACTGTCCTTGTCCGGGCCATAACAATACTCTTGCATTGCTGCGGTGCCCTTGGGGTAGTCCACAAAGAAGTGATCATAATATCCCCAGAAAGCAAGGGTTCCGCCCGGCTTCATCACACGTTGTAACTCTGCGAAGAGCGGCGGGTAGCTGAACCAGTGTGCAGCTACTCCTGCCACAACCATGTCTACGCTTTTATCCTCGATGAATGGAAGCGACTCGGCAGCTGCTTGGACGAACTCAACGTTCTGCTCCTTGGTCAGGTTCTTCGCCTGCTCTATCATGCCGGCCGATGGATCGATGCCGTAGACCTTCTTGAACTTCGGGGCCAGGAAACGCGCAACCACGCCATGGCCGCATCCAAGATCTAGACATGTATCGTATCCGTCATGGTGATACGCGAATATCATGTCATAGAGCTTTTGAGGGTATTCTGCACGAAACGTGGCATAGGCCGTGTATGAAAAGTTGTTACTCCTGTAGAGCCCGGTGGCAACATCTCAGGCCGGTCCATCTCAATTAGTCGCTTGTTCTCCCAGCAAAGTCTGGATATCAAAATGGATTTTACTAACGCAAAAGTTGCCATCTTCTGCTATTTTGAAATATTCCTTCTGGATCGGTTACCCTGAATGTGTTATGCTGTCAATCTGAAATATGGTAGGAAGTGAAAAGGAAGTATGGAGTTGAATGGGGGGGCGTTCATTCGACTTTTATATAGGCAAACCACCAAAGAGGCATGAAAAAGAGTAACCGAACTTTGCCGAGAGCCATCGCCCATGAGCAAGACACTTGCGCTCCTGTTAACGTCACCACAACAATTCTGGAGCGATTGGTTATATTTAGAAAATCTAGAGATCCTGAAAATCCACCTTTGAGATCCACCGTAGCAGCTATATCCATGAATTTTGGCCCGGTGAACGGTTCCCGCGAAGCTTAGCCATCCAAGAGGCCCCGTTAGCTGCGAGCTGCACGCCACGAACCGTAAACAAAAAAATACATCCATGCGTTGAACGACGTCTCGGCAAAGAGGAGTGTCCGTATCCGTCGAGATCGTCCCGCATGAAGTATTTGGTTTTTGCTGTCCTCCACCATCCTCCGTCTGTCTCCAGCCTATAGACAAAAGCTATAAGCATGTGTCAATCGGAATGAGAACCTGATCCTCCGCCTCCATGACATAATAGCCTAGATCTAGTCCGTCGTGGGTGACCACCTTTCGCCAGAATCTGCGCCAGGACTGCCGTGGATGCGACTCCTCTGTTTTGATAACGGCCTCCGGCTGGACCATGAGGACCCTTGTGTAGATGTACTTATCCAAAGCAATCTCTAGACATTTCAACTTGGTCGAGTAGTGATGTACCAGCTGGTCAGTCGTATAGAAGATCGCCGCACCTATAAGACGGTAGCCTTCAAGGCCAGGCTGAATCCACCCGGATACTGAGTGAGTGGCCCTTTCTATGAAACGACCGCCTCTCCTGATGTGCAGGCGCAGGCAGCGTAAGTGAGGGAAGAAAGAGCACAAGAATGCAACGAGTGCAGCGTGGTCTCCAACGTCAATGGCATCGCCGTCCGGGATGATTCTAGATGTTAGCTCAAGCGAGGTGATCCCCCTGACATGATGTGCCGGGATCAAATTTGGCAGCTTGAAAAAGAGGCCATCGTAGAACTCGTCATTGATAATGAATGTGTTGGTCTGATACAGGACTGACATTGCCTCCGTATAAATATTTCAGGCACAGCGTTAGACATTAAACATTTAAAACAAATAACTAGTTACTGTTTAAAAAGGCAAGGTGAAAAAAAATAAAGGCGTACCACTGGCGAGACGTGAGGAGCCACTCCAGCACCCCGATGAAGCAGCTTGAATGATCTCCATAGTGAGCCCGGCAGGACGTATACTGAGGCAGCTGGCAGCGGTCGTTCCAGAAAGGGAGGTTCCTGTACCGATGGCAGACGCAATGCCACCACCGCCATTGCAGGTTGTAGTCGTCGGTCCGCTTGATGGTGTCGAGGCGAGCATGAGCCTTCCCGGCCACGTACGAGGTGGAATAGTTCAGGCTGACATGTATCGTCCGCGCCCCAAACATGGCAATGTACACCATCCGCCGGATCTCGGGCGGCAGCCGCGTGAAGAAGAGGCTGTTCTCCGTCGCCCGCTGCTCGTCCGGCGTGCTGGCGGGATATGACAGCGACAGCGGCCGCCGGTTAGCAGGCAGGATCGGTATCAGGGGCGTCCGCGGCCGCTGGAGACGACGGCGCGGTGGTGCAGGCCGCGCCGGCCGCGCAGGCTGCTCGCTGTGCCCGTCTGCCTGGCCGCCGCGGTGGGTTATCTTTCGAATCCACTGGCTGAATTTCGGCATTTCTCGTCCCTCGTCGACACGTACGGCGTCACGGCTGCAGAGAGGCGTCGGTGGAGAGCGTGGAGGGACTGCCAGCCCGTCCATCGCAGGCCAGCGCAGGGCCCTGCAGGCAAGGAAGGCTGGGGGGGTTATTTGAGCGCGCGATGACTTGCAGGGCCGCTAGGGGGTCAGCGATGCGACGAGTCCGATGTTGGTGCCCGCCGCCGCGCCGGTCAGCAGCAGGGCTGGCATTGGGGTCTTGCCGCCAGCGTGCGAGGTCCGCCGCTTGCTCTGCCTGTCTGTCTGTCCGTCCGTCCGTTCTCTGCTCGCAGGCTCTGGTCTCTGTTCGCTGGTCCAGCAGGCCGATAAATAAACAAACCGCTTTGGCGACGGGCGAACCTTGCAGGCGGCAAAAGCAATTAGTTGGTTACGCCAAAACCACCGCGGGGGACGGGCAGAGCGCAGGATCAACAACTGCGAGCCATCTTGGACCGTCCGGTTGATATTGACGTTGACGTTGACGTTGATATTGATAGCTATTGTTGCGTCTGCTGCTCGAGACTGGTAATGTCTGCGGATATGGAGGCTGCCGTCAAGCTGTTCTTCTCGTCGCCGCGTTTTGCGGTCGCTGGCGCCAGCACCGATGCCAGCAAGTTTGGCTACAAGAGTACCAAAGATACCCTTTCCTCTGCTGGTGATGATGACGACGATGATGCTGATATAGTGGCATTCTCTAGTTCTCGCGTGGTATCATGAGCACTCGCTGGCCGTCACTCCGCTGAATCCGCGGGCGCCATCGATCTCGCTGCCGTCCAAATCATACACCACAGTGGCATCCCCCTCTGACCTGCCGATGCCCTCCCAGACATCCCTCTCGATCGTGACGCCGCCAAAGGTGACTATCCAGGTCCTGCGAGATGCAAACTCGGTGGGCGTGCCGGCTGTGTGGCTGCAGCCAGGAACCTACGACGACGAGGTGCTTGAATACGCCCGTGAGAACTTCAAGGCCGCCATCGGTGGGCCCGGAGGACAGGGCAGCGAGGGTTGGTGTGTCCTCGTAGACGGCGAGGCTGGACTCGATGCTGCTGGCGTCCAGTGGACTTCTCAAAAGCTGTGAAGAAGAGACAGTTGATAATCTGGCTTGACAGACTTGATGTACATGAAAATCTTACATTCTTGAACATAACCGTACGGCTCGATGAATATATATGGGATAAAAGCAACGGCTTGTTTGCTACAAAAGATGATACGGCGAGGCTGTGGTTCACAGTAGCACGGATGGATAATATCCTGATAGACAATCTCATTTTGGTTTGTATGCGTAATAGGAGCATATCTCGGCCTCCCTTGAAGCAGGGCAGGGCATTCATTAAGTTATCAATAAGCGGAACATCTCGTTTTGCTGGTCCAAAAGGAAACGAAGAACAAACTTGGTGAAGAAGCTGAGGGCTCTCGTCTTTTATATCCCTTCAAGCTCAACGAAAAGGATAAACATGGAGATAATGAAAAGAGAGACATGGTATCATCAGGTCATTAAGCGTGGCATCATCGGGATATAAAGATACCCCTGTTGAAGCATGGTTCATTAAAGCATCGAAAGAAAAGAAAGAAAAGGAGACAACAGGCTAGAAACGCAGAGAAAAGAAAACAAAAGAAATGCAAAGGAAAAAGGAAAATCGTCAATAAAAGGGGGAAGATGGATCAATCCCATTCATCAATGTCCATTTCGTCAACCTCAATCCGAGTTCCCAGGGCCTGTCTCCCTTCTCTGATCATGGCCTTCAGCTGGTGGTTCAGCCTGCGTATGCTGGCATCTTCTTCACGTTCCTTGCGCCTCAGTTTGGCGGCATGTCTCTGAGTCTCTCGTGACAACGGGGTTTCGTTGGGGTTTGACACCGTAGTGTGCTTTGGTGGCGTCTTGTAGACCGATGATGCAGATGAAGGAGAGTAGATATGCGGAGAGAGGTTGGTGGAACGTGTTGGTGTAAGAGGTGTCATGGGCCGCTTGGACTGTACTCTGGCACCGGAGCGGCGTGCAGGGACATGGCGGGCAACGCTGTTCCGGCGAGCATGCTTCTTGGAGCTGCAAGATGGGCTGATCTCCCGAGAATCCTCGTCTTCCTTAACGAGAACCCAGTTGTTGTGTATATCTTCCCGGCGCGGCTTGTCGATGTGATAGTGCTCGTCTACCGGATAACGGCCAGGCACTGGTATATCGTCCATCAAACGGCTTGAGCGTCTCCGTTGTGACAGAGAGGGCCTCTCCCTTTTCTTGCTTGGTGGTACCGTTGCTGTGGAACCGTCCATATCGTACCCTATGCCTCCGCCGGCGTGAAACCCTCGGAAGGGAGCTGACACGCAGAAATTCCACACTTTCCCAGCAACGCCTCCAACGAGGTTGAGGACTGCCTCACCCCAGCCTGGAGAACTTTTCACGCCGGTGTCATCGCCCTGGGGAACCGGGGAGTCCCGTTTCCGTTTTGTTCCTTCAATATTTGAGGGTGTAACTGGTACGTCCCCCATTGTCCGACTGGTCTTTCGATACCTCGTGGGCCGGTAGTCAAGCTCTGACTCCTCGTTGTCACCATCACGCTGTGACGAGAATCCCAGTATCGGCTGCCCTGCCGTCGTCAACAGCCCTGTATCCAGACCTCCCTCTGCCAGTAGGTATTCGGTGTTTGCCAGTGGCACAGGACTCGAGATCCGCGAGACGGGAGACTGGCGGTCCCAGATAGCCCGGTCATCGAGTCCGCCATAGCCATAGCGAGCACGCTTGCAGCTGCTCATGAGCGGCGTCGAGAGAGTGCGACACAACGACAGCGAGGAGGTCGCTGACGCTGGCTGCGGCGAGTGGTAGAAGCGAGATCTGGCACCGGTCAGGTCCAGCTTCGGCGGGACCGGGCTGTCGATGAAGAAATCGCCAGACATGGAAGAGTTGCGTAAACGAGAACCTGCACGGAGTACTTCGTATCCTGAATTGCTGATGAAGTTTGACGGGCTGGGAAGCAGGCGAAGGGCGAGCCTTGTGCCTTGATATTGACGGTCACAAATGAAAAAAATGAGGCTGGGATTTGTTTGGCTGGGAAAGTGACGTTAGGCCTTGGCGCGCTTCCAACCTACCTTTTTTTTTTTTT